TATATATATATATATATATATATATATACGAAGTTACGTATTGTTTCGACGTCTTATTTGTTCACTCAGTACTGGTGCGTTCTAGTGCACATCCGCACGCGAAACCCACTTAAGGCCGGCTCGACCTGGGAGCCAAGGTTATTAAAAAAAAATTTCTGGCCCCTGTCAGGACTCGAATCAAGGACCTTCTGATCCACAGGCGAGCGTCTAGCCGCCAGACCACAGCGGCTACAATATATATATATGGAGGATTGTTGTCAAAGGCAGTTGATGTTTACAGTCCGAAGGAGACGGACGTGTGGATCCTTGAGGACGCTTTACCCCGGGACTCCACTATAAACCTCAGCAGAAAGCTGGTATATTGCCCTATTTCTGCTGAGGTTAATTAGTGGAATCCCGGGGTAAAACGTCCTCAAGGATCCAACTGTATACAACGTCTGCTTCTGTGGTATCCCGGGATAACGCGTCCTCAAGGATCCTCACGGCCGTCTCCCTCGGACTGTAAACATCAACTGCCATTGACAACAATCCTTCACGACGTTACGTATTGTTTCGACGTCCTATTTGCTCACTCGGTACTGGTGCGTTCTAGTACACATCCACACGCGACAGTGGGTACCATGTACAGTTAGTTAGTTAGTTAGTTAGTTAGTTAGTTAAGTTAGTTAGTAGTTAGTTGTTAGTTTAGTTAGTTAGTTAGGTTAGTTAGTTAGTTGAGTTATCCCATTGCACTCCGGAAACGTCCATAGGTGCTCAGATCCCCCCTCTGTATACCCCAACGTCCGATGCTAATAGTACCAGTTCTATGTTGATTAACAAGTCTTCTGGCGTAAAGCGTCTCGTTTTTTGCTGTGCCGATCCATTCCCAAGTCGCCATTCTGGCGAGTGATGTGGATTCACTGCACCAAAGTCCTCTATTCTTCCCATTTCTCTGAGGGCATTGATAATATCAGCATGATCCATAGGCTGACCGTCGGTAGTGATAGCGGATCCAGCCAACCTGTCAGCTCTTTCATTTCCATCGACGCCTGCGTGTCCCGGAACAAAAATAAAGGTGACTCCACGAACAGTGGACTTCTGTAATGATTCAAGCCATTGTCTTCGCACTGAACCTGCCTGAACACCATGTACAGTCATGGGAAGTAAAGGCAGCCGGCATGAGGTAGACCACAACACCCACCGAGTGCTGTTTTGTTTAAAAAAAATTAGTCTAACCCTATATGCCCAATACGCCTGAAGGCGTGGAAAATGGTCCTTTACTTTTATACAAACATACATGGGCACGCGCGCACGTACAGACACACGTACAGACACACAAACAGACACACGCACAGACACACGTAGAGACACACTCACAGACACACGCACAGACACACACACAGACACACACACAGACACACTCACAGACACACACACAGACACACACACAGACACACACACAGACACACACACAGACACACACAGACACACTCACAGACACACGCACAGACACACACACAGACACACACACACAGACACACACATAAACACACGCACAGACACACACACACAGACACACGCACAGATACACGCACAGACACACGCACAGACACACACACAGACACACACACAGACACACACACAGACACACGCACAGACAAAGACACACGTACAGACACACACACAGACACACACAGAGACACACATACAGACACACACACAGATACACACAGAGACACACATACAGACACACACACAGACACACACAGACACACACACAGACACACACACAGACACACACACAGACACACACACATACAGACACACACACAGACACATATACACAGACACACACACAGACACACATACAAACACACATACAGACACACACACACAGACACACAGACACACAGACACACACACAGACACACACACAGACACACACACACAGACACACACACAGACACACACACAGACACACATACAGACACACACACAGACACACACACAGACACACACACAGACACACACAAAGACACACATACAGACACATATACAGACACATATACAGACACACACATACACAAATACATTCATACACACATACATACATATACACACATACATTCATACACACACACATACATATACACAAATTCATTCATACACACATACACACACACATACACATACATGCACACATACATACACACATACACACACTTACACACACACACACATATACACGGCTCACACACACAGACAGTATGGTTAAACCATACAGACACGCATACAGACACACACACAGACTCCACACAGACACACGGGTTCACATCCCAGGGGTAGGCACAGAAAGCCACATATCTCACAAATACATTCATACACACATAATGGAATCATACACAAATACATTGCGATATCCATACATTACCGATACACAAAGGGTTTACAACTCATGGTTTACACATACATTAAAAAAAATACACACACATACACATATACACACATACACCCACACATACACACACACATACATACACATACATAAATGCATACACATACTTACACCCACAGACAGACACATACACAGACATACATATATACAGACAGACAGACAGACAGACAGACAGACAGACAGACAGACAGACAGACAGACAGACAGACAGACAGACAGACAGACAGACAGACAGACAGACAGACAGACAGACAGACAGACAGACAGACAGACAGACAGACAGACAGACAGACAGGCAGACAGACAGACAGACAGACAGGCAGACAGACAGACAGACAGACAGACAGACAGACAGACAGACAGACAGACAGACAGACAGACAGACAGACGGACGGACGGACGGACGGACGGACGGACGGACGGACGGACGGACAGACAGACAGACAGACAGACATATAAATATAAATATATACGCATGGACACCATACATCTCTATAACCTGCACGTCGGTGCGATAACTGTTGGACCCCACGAAGAACACCATTTTATTAGACATGGGCCCTGCTCTCTAGCGTGGTTGGCTAAACCTGACTTCCCGACGACCGGGTGACAAACTCCTTGTGGTCCGGGTTCACGCCCGGGGGTAGGCAGAAAAGCCACATTTCTCCCAGATTTACGGTATTTATCATGGAATCAAGGCCTAAAGGTTGGCGATATCCATAGTACCAAGCTAAAGGGTTAACAACTCATGGTTTCTGGATATTTTAGACATGAATGGATTTTCTCATGAAATTCATCTCAGATAACTCGCCTTACCTTTACCTTTTTTTCGGGCAATAGGGGTGTTTGAGGCAGTGAGCCTGCTGATTATCTGGTGACAAGGTGATTAGCCCTGCACTGATTAGAATGATATCAATAATGCTATGCGAGCTGCAAATCTCAGAGAAGATCACAGCAACAAGCAGGACTCAGTATTCTTGTCCAGGTTGGCGGACATGTGGGTGCAATCTGGAGTAGCTAGATCTGGACATTTCACCAAGGCCACAAGGGGTTTTGTCAGTCAACATAGAACAGGCGTAATCAGTCGTTTTACTCTTGTTGAGCTACTGAAGATGAGATCGGAGCATCTGTGGATCATTCTCCAGAGTTGTGATGATAGTCCTCACTAATCACTTTTCAGTAATAGCACAACATAAAACTAACGTTGGGAAAGACAGATAGGTGGCAACAAACACACACATACACATACATACATATACATATATATATACTTGCAGCCATCGGGACTTGAAACCAGAGAACCTCCTTCTCGATGAAAAGAGCAATATACGTGTGGCTGACTTCGGCATGGCCTCATTGCAGGTGGAAGGATCTATGTTAGAGACCAGCTGTGGGTAAGTACTTGATTTGTTCTTTTCCTTTGCCGCGAATACATTCTGTATCATCATAAATTATATATCTAATTGGCTCGAATTCGACTAGGAGGCTTAACATTAAACATAAAGGGACTTAATATCCAACATGGTTATATCCATCATATTTGAGTTACGAACTTTGCTATTGGCAGCCTTTGTCTGGCTAGTATTTATTTCCTATGGTCACACACGTGTCGGAGATTCAACTGGTTAGACAGATATGTGATTCCTCTCGGAGTTACTTCAGTTAAGTGATTATGTGTTTTCGTGTTCGTAATTTTGGTATTATGTATTTGTCTAATGTGCTGATGAAGTCTCTCTAGCTGTAACGTCACTTGTCGTTTGTGATAATGTGAAGCCCACATGTTTTACTTTTCCTTTGCTAAATATCCTTTCATGTTGTTCAACTTAGAATAAGATATAGAATTAGGGCTTTAAAAACAGTTCTCTTCTTAGAGTTGAAAAAAGGATTTATGTTTGAGACAGCTTCGCAAGAACCGGAAAGAAAATTTTAAAGTTTTAGTAGGGATTGAGCTCATCAACATTTTATAATAATCGGATGATGTTTGACAGAGTTATAAAAGTATTGGCAACCCTGCTCAGCAGTCAAAGCTGCGGAACTTAGAACAATTCTGGACCGGTAACGAAACAAAAAACCGATGTGATCGTTGCTGTAGCTATGCAGTTCGTGGACTGTGCTACACTGTTATATAAAATTCTAAAGGTTATTGATATTTTTTTTTGGGGGGGGGGAGACATGGTGATTATTTCAGATGATTTCAAATATTTTATATTTTTATGCTATTCAGTACATTATTATTGCTGTTATTTTATTATTACTATTATTCGTTTTATTATTATTATTACTATTATTCGTTTTATTATTATTACTATTATTCGTTTTATTATTATTATTACTATTATTCATTTTATTATTATTATTACTATTATTCATTTTATTATTATTATTACTATTATTCGTTTTATTATTATTATTACTATTATTCGTTTTATTATTATTATTACTATTATTCGTTTTATTATTATTATTACTATTATTCGTTTTATTATTACTATTATTCGTTTTATTATTATTATTACTATTATTCGTTTTATTATTATTATTACTATTATTCGTTTTATTATTATTATTACTATTATTCGTTTCATTATTATTATTACTATTATTCGTTTTATTATTATTATTACTATTATTCGTTTTATTATTATTATTACTATTATTATTTTCTCTTTTTTCTGCGATCGTCCTTGAAAATCTTCGGCACATCGTTCTGTAGTTGGAGGGGAGGAGAGGTGTGCCTCGGGGGCAAAAGCTTCCCTGTGGTTTAAATTGTGCCGATAAAGTGGGCAAAGAAATTATTTCTGACATTTCACACTACAAAGAATTCGGTCCTGAAGAAAAGTCTCTCATCAGACGCGCCAGGGAACCAATCGAAGACTCGCACCGAACCAGCGTGAGTGCGAACAAATACTGTTTGGATCTGACGGTTTGTGACCTCAGGGGCACTCTATGAGGCTGAACAATGTGGATAAGGTTATCTGCGCGGATATTATCTGGTTGGATAATTAATTAGGAAGTTGGATGGTTGCGTAATGGTGTTATGTTCTTGTTATTTTATAACAGTCATCCTGTTGTGGTGTTTTATGGCGCATTGGCATGGTGGGTTCTAGTAGTCCATTCTCTTCTATCTGTTATCTTCTTCTTCTGTATTAATAAAAATGTAAACTTCAGTTAGTTGTAACAACTAATCTCCGAAAGTTCTTCACTGATTGCTTTCAAATTTTCACACAACGTTGTATTCGACTACGCGCGTGTTTTTATAAAACAGTGTCGCACAATCCACGAACTGCATAGCTATAGCAACGATCACATCCGTTTTTGTTTCGTTACTGGCCCAGAATTGTTTGAAGTTCCCCAGCTTTGACTGCTGAGCAAGGTTGCCAATGCGTGCCTTTTCCCCCATGATCAGTACCGATTGCTTTGAAATTTGCTATTGCTTTCAAAATTTCACACAACGTTGCATTCAAAAATGTTTTTATATAAGAGTGTCACACAAGGCATGACCTACACAGCTCCAGAGATGATCACATCAGCATCTTGGTTTTGTTTTCAGACGATCCAATTTATTGTTCTTCTTTGCAGCGTACACAGAGCGTTGTTATTTACCAGAAATCTGCAGGAAGCTGGTCGAAGAGTTGTTGACAGATTATATGGAAATGTTAAGATGTGGGCATTTCTTCGGTGAGGGAGAGAGGAGTATTCGATGGATTTGGGAGGACAAGGGGGAAGGGGTGACGACAGACACTGTTAACTGAGACAGCTTAAAGTCCAGTGTAGTCTCAGTGGACACGGATGCCAAGGTCGATTACAATTCGTCAGGTGATGAATTTCAAATCCTTTGGAGAGAGAGAGAGTGGAGTAGTCAGTGGATTGGTGAGTGGAAAGGGGGTGGGGGTGGCACTCACTTTTACCTGAGAGAGCTTAAAACACGAAGAGAGAACATAAAATGGGATGAATTTAAAAAGAGGGCGATCAGACAAATTTGTGAACAAATAGCTGTATAGACTACAATAAGACAAAAAATGTGGAGATATACTAGGCACACACTGAAACGAAATGAGCAAAGAATTGCAAAACAGGCACCGAAATGGGAAACAAGCGGTCTAAGAGAGAGAGAGAGAGAGAAAGAGAGAAACAAAAGACGTACCATTGAAACATTCAGAAGAACATTATTACGAGAGGCAAAACAAGTGCTGGGCTCCACTCCGTGTTAGAAAGGGAGAGAGCTGCTTGCAATAGAGCGGATTAAGGAATCGAATGCGAGCTGTGTATGAGGTCTAATGGCACACACTTGACAATGACATAACTCTTGGAATTAATACCTCTGACTACTGCTTTGTGCATTTAAAACATTTAACAGACTTGCGCTGTTGGATTTGATGAGACTTCAGTCTGTGTCCATTTTGTTCACAAGGGGCAGTGTGTGTGACATTATGTGGGGTTTTTGATGACTCACGAACGAAGCAACTATGAGGTGACCCGTTCGTTATGAAGTTAGAAATATGAATACCTGATTACAATATAACACTTTCTTCTGGCAAGACAGAGGAGTGGCAACCCAACATATGAAACAAATTATCTAACAAATGTAAAAGCAACACTCGAGTTAAACGTTAAATATAGTAACATAGACTATAGAAACATTTTACCATGTCGGCGTGAAGCAGCGATTCAGGTCAAGGTAATTTGTACATTGATTCTTTCAATTTTAGAAGACGGTTCGGAAGTGAGTCACCGCAATTCCGGAAAAGCTGGATTTTGGGGCAAAGGTGTAGCGATTTTGTTTACTTACCTGAAGTTTCACGGGTAGGCACGTGGCGTGGGAAAATGTCAGGCCTCGTTTTCTGAAAACTCGCTTTTTTTTTAAATAACAAAATTACACGCATAGAAGTTTTTATTATAGTGTCAGGGGCGCTGCCACAAAACATTTCATTTGGCTCCTCTGTGGGATTACATATTTCCAGGGGCATCATAAGGCTTAAACATTGTTTATTTTGCCGGAAGAGGGTGGGGGGGGGGGGGGGGGGCTCAGAGGGTATCACCAACCAGATTCCGATCGCCCGTGAATAGTGCCAATATTTAATGTGTCATGTACGAATGCTTCGCAATGCCGGGATGACGGGTTCGATCCCAGGTGCGGGCCATGCGCCTTGCGTTGGTTTCGACAGTGGTATCAAGAAAGCCGACCGTCCAAAAAGCAATGGCAAACTACTGGACGTAAATTTGCCTAGAAAAACCACACAACAGCCAGGGGCTGCTGGGGTTTGTTCTACAGCGTCCTTTAAAGGATACGCAACTAACCTAACCATGTACGAATTCAGAGGCCTGAACTTGGGACGGATGAGACAACAGATCATTGACCCTTAACAAGCGTGTCATAGGACTTCCGGTGTAAACAGCCACAATGGCGGTACGCTTTTTCTTCCGTTGAGGCGAAAGGCGCAAATTTGCTATTTTTGCTCACCTATAATGTGAAAGTTTCATGGGAATGGGATCTGAACCGTGCAATGGGTACCATGCACGTGAGTTCAGACTTCCCTCAGGATGTATTCGACGTTCGAATCCACATCACTCGCCAGAATGGCAGACTTGAGAATTAAGATCGGCCTAGCAAAAACGAGTCGCACACCAGACACGCCAGAAGACTTGTTAACAACATAGAGCTGGTACTATTTGCCATCGGACGTTAGGGCTCATACTGAGGGGAGGATCTGAGCACCTGTGGACATATCCGGAGTGCAATGATGATAACCCAACTAACTAACTAACTAACTAACTAACTAACTAACTAACTAACTGACTAACTAAGCGTGACATAAAATGCGACTAGCTAAGGGTTTATTGGATGCAACGAAAGTATTCTACGTGTGAATGTAGCCTGTCTCAAGTCGGCCTTTTTTCGTCAACTTTTACGGCACGTTTTGTCTGTTTTACTATAATATCTATTGCTCCTCCCCCTCCCTCCCCCGGGAGATATAGCTCAAGTGGAGGGTAGTTTTTTAGATATAACTTTTTCATTGTGCACTAAAAGACTTTTCTGCACTCGGCTTAAAATGTATTCTCTGATGCGGTAATTATTCTGCAATTTGTTCATGTGTGAATCTCTTTGTCTCGTGGCGGTGGCTGTTGTCTGAGGGTGTGGGAGGGACGCATGTGCGGTGCGCGTGTGTGTACACATAAGTGCGTTTGTATGCTTCTTCTCTTAAATAGTTGTTACACAAATGTTTTTCTCATTAGAATTTGTGTAGAAGTCTGGGAATGCCTTTGCGTGTTTCTAATTCTCATGAAAATTCCATCAGTTTCTCGCAGCAGCAACGGCAGCAAGCAGTTATCTCCAGATGTTAGCTGCACTTACTTACTGTTCACCGGTTAAAACTTAAGGGGAATCGAAATAGAA